TTTAACTTTATTGAAGACAAGAGAAGTTTCTGTTTGATTGTTCATTAATAAAGATATAGAATGGGGGACAGTGCCTGGCTCAAGAGCAGTACGTCTGAAAAAGATCTTGGAGTCCTCGTGGACAACAAGTTAAACATGAGCCAACAATGTGATGTGGCGGCAAAAAAAGCCAATGGGATTTTGGCCTGCATCAATAGGAGCATAGTGTCTAGATCTAGGGAAGTAATGCTACCCCTCTATTCTGCCTTGGTTAGACCACACCTGGAATATTGTGTCCAATTCTGAGCACCACAATTCAAGAGAGATATTGACAAGCTGGAATGTGTCCAGAGGAGGGCGACTAAAATGATCAAGGGTCTTGAGAACAAGTCCTATAAGGAGCGGCTTAAGGAGCTGGGCATGTTAGGCCTGAAGAAGAGAAGGCTGAGAGGAGATATGATAGCCATGTTCATATATTAGAGGAAGCCACAGGGAGGAGGGAGCAAGCTTGTTTTCTGCTTCCTTGGAGACTAGGACGCGGAACAATGGCTTCAAACTACAAGAGAGGAGATTCCATCTGAACATGAGGAAGAACTTCCTGTCTGTGAGAGCCGTTCAGCAGTGGAACTCTCTGCCCCGGAGTGTGGTGGAGGCTCCTTCTTTGGAAGCTTTTAAGCAGAGGCTGGATGGCCATCTGTCAGGGGTGATTTGAATGCAATATTCCTGCTTCTTGGCAGAATGGGGTTGGACTGGATGGCCCAGGAGGTCTCTTCCAACTCTTTGATTCTATGATTCTATGAAAGGACTTTTTTATACTTCACAAGCCATCTAAAGACCATTTGTGGTGGAAAACCCTTGAGAACTTCTCTTCGGGGGGCCCTGGCCTCCCGCTGAGCTCAAGTTGCACGTCCTATTTTAAAGGCAATTCTTTACAGGCCCAGCGCGTGACAGAACAGTAGTGAACAAGTAACTAGTATAGGAGGCTTTCCAACAGCACAAGGTGCAACTAGCCTTCTATCTTTTTAAAAAGGGGAGGAAATCGTACACAAAGATTTGTAATCTTGGAGAGTCGAGCCGTAAGGTGCAAGGGAAAGCAAATGCATCCACACCCTTGTGATTTTTGAAAATGGATCAAAAAATTTTCAGAGATTTTATCTGCTCTGGCCTATGGAATGGGATTGGATTTGGGTTGCAAGTGCAGAAGTTTGGAGGCAAAACGGCCTTCGTATTGGCCAACAAACAGGTCAGCTTTCATGAAGCACACTTTGGAACAGCAGCGCAGAAGCTTGATTTAGATTTGCTTCCAGAAGATTGATATAGATTTGCTTTCAGAAGGTGTCTTGCGGTGCACCAGAGGGATGACCTCTATCCATTCACAGAGTGGCTTTTTATGTCACCGAGGCTGGTGGATCGCATTTGTCAAAAAGCGGAACAAAGGCGAAACCTCAGCCATCGGGTCCTTGTAGGAATTTCTGATCTTGGCACCTTGAGGGATGAGAAACAGGCCTCCCCAGGCTCTTGAAAAGGGAGTTATATCAAGCTCTTTCGTTGGAGCGTAATTGGGAACCCATCACTGTGCAGCGAAGAGATTTGGAGCAGCTGCAAATGAGTGTCTAGCAAGGAAGCCATCAGTATCAAGGCAAGGGGGTCGGTTCCACTGGAGAGGGTAAAACATTTCACTTTCTCTTTTTTTCTTGGATGTTTTGAATGTACAGTTTGGTTATAAAATCATAGAGTTGGAAGAGACCTGGTGGGCCATCCAGTCCAACCCCATCCTGCCAAGAAGCAGGAAAATCACATTCAAAGCCCCCCTATTATTTATCGTGTCATCAGCAGCCATACCATTACGTATATTACAATTCCAACAGAGCAAAACAAACACAGAAATTAAAAAGAAAAAGAAAAAAAACCCACAGATTTTGCAAATTTGGTAGTTGGTTAAATGTCCTTTGACCAGTATCTGGCCACTTGGAGTGCCTCTGGTGTTGCCGCAAGAAGGTCCTCCATCGTGCATGTGGCAGGGCTCAGGTTGCATTGCAGCAGGTGGTCAGTGGTTTGCTCTTCTCCACACTCGCATGCCGTGGATTCCACCCTGTAGCCCCATTTCTTAAGATTGGCTCTGCATCTCGTGGTGCCAGAGCGCAGTCTGTTCAGCGCCTTCCAAGTCGCCCAGTCTTCTGTGTGCCCAGGGGGGAGTCTCTCATCTGGTATCACCCATGGATTGAGGTGCTGGGTTTGGGCCTGCCACTTTTGGACTCTCGCTTGCTGGGGTGTTCCAGCGAGTGTCTCTGTAGATCTAAGAAAACTATGTCTTGATTTAAGTCGTTGACGTGCTGGCTGATACCCAAACAGGGGATGAGCTGGAGATGTCTCTGCCTTGGTCCTTTCACCATTGGCTGCTACTTCCCAGCGGATGTCAGGTGGTACAATACCGGCTAAGCAGTGTAATTTCTCCAGTGGTGTAGGGCGCAGACACCCCGTGATAATGCGGCATGTCTCATTAAGAGCCACATCCACTGTTTTAGTGTGGTGAGATGTGTTCCACACTGGGCATGCATACTCAGCAGCAGAGTAGCATAGCGCAAGGGCAGATGTCTTCACTGTGTCTGGTTGTGATCCCCAGGTTGTGCCAGTCAGCTTTCGTATGATGTTGTTTCTAGCGCCCACGTTTTGCTTGATGTTCAGGCAGTGCCCCCTACCAAAGCCCCCCTGACAGATGACCATCCAGCCTCTGTTTAAAAGTGTAACATGCACAGATATCTATAACAACAAATACAAAAACTGCAGATTGCAAATCACAATTTCTATATTACAAGAAATTCTTCATTCAATGTAACGTGGGAACATTAACACGATTAATTAGTAACAGTTTATAAATGAAAGATTGTTTATCAATATTTTGTCAACACAATGAAACTTAAGCTTCCAAAATCACAATTACTATATACTTATGAAGAATCTCCTGGTATATAGTAATTGTGATTTTGGAAGCTTAAGTTTCATTGTGTTGACAAAATATTGATAAACAATCTTTCATTTATAAACAGTTACTAATTAATCGTGTTAATGTTCCCACGTTACATTGAATGAAGAATTTCTTGTAATATAGAAATTGTGATTTGCAATCTGCAGTTTTTGTATCTGTTTAATAATAATAATAATAATAATTCAGTTCTTGTGGGTTTTTTCGGGCTATATGGCCATGTTCTAGAGGCATTTTTCCTGACGTTTCGCCTGCATCTATGGCAAGCATCCTCTTGCCATAGATGTAGGCGAAACGTCAGGAGAAATGCCTCTAGAACATGGCCATATAGCCCGAAAAAACCCACAAGAACTGAGTGATTCCAGCCATGAAAGCCTTCGACAATAATAATAATAATAATAACAATAATAATAACTTTATTTGTAACCCGCTACCATCTCCCCAAGGGACTTGGTGTGGCTTACATGAGGCCGAGCCCACAATACAACAACAAAAACAATAGCAATAGTAATACAAACAATAAATAAACTCATAAACAGAAAATAGCAATAAACATTAACAATAACACAACAATGTTTAAAAACCTATGGCAGGGCCAATGTACTAATTAAATTTTTAAAAAATAATGCTGGGCATGACCAGGTGACACATAAACAGGATAGAAATTTTGGAGAGGGAAAGTGCATTTAGGGACATATTGTTGGGAGTTTCCTTATTCTGGGAAGGCACACTGGAACAACCACGTTTTCAGGCTCCTCCTAAAGACTGCCAGCGTTGGGGCGTGTCTGATGTCCCTGGGGAGTGAGTTCCAGAGTCGGAGGGCCACCACAGAGAAGGCCCTGTCCCTCGTCCCAACCAGTCGCGCTTGCTATGGAGGCGGGAGCGCGAGTAGCGCCTCTCTAGATGATTGAAGAGATCATGTGGGTTTGTACACAGTGATGCAGTCCCAAACCATTTAGGGCTTTGCAACTTGAATTGGGACCGGAAAATGAACGGCAGCCAATGGAGCTCCTTAAACAGGAGGGTTGACCGCTCCCTGTAAGGAGCACCAGTTAACAGCTTGGCCGCCGCTCGTTGGACCAATTGAAATTTCCAGGCCGTTTTCAAGAGTAGCCCCACTTAGAGTGCATTACAGTAATCCAATCTGGAGGTGACTAAGGCATGGACCACTCTGGCCAGATCCGCCTTCACAAGGTATGGTCGCAGTTGGCGCACGAGTCTTAATTGTGCAAAGGCCCTCCCAGCCACCGCCGACGCCTGAGCTTCAAGCGTCAGTGATGAGTCCAGGAGGACACCCAAATTGCGGACCTGTGACTTCAGGGGGAGTGCAACCCAATCCAACACAGGTTGCCACCCTATACCCCGATCTGATTTACGATCGACCAGGAGGACTTCTGTCTTATCGGGATTTAAAAGCCTCCAAAGAAGGAGCCTCCACTACCCTCCAGCACAGAGAGTTCCACAGCTGAACAGCTCTCACAATTAGGAAGTTCTTCCTCATGTTTAGGTGGAATCTCCTTTCTTTCTTGTAGTTTGAAGCCATTGCTCCATTGCATCCTAGTCTCCAGGGAAGCAGAAAACAAGCTTGCTCCCTCACTCCTAGGATTTCCCCTCACTTCTTGATCCCTGGCCCTCATTGTGTTTCCTCTGCCTTCTCTTCTTCAGGCTAAACATGCCCTACACTTTACGCCACTCCTCATAGGGCTTGTTCTCCATACCCTTGATCATTTGAGTCGCCCTCTTCCTCTGGACACATTCCAGCTTAGAGTCAACATCTCCCTTCAATTGTGGTGCCCAAAATTGGACACAAGGTGATTCCAGGTGTGGTCTGAACATACCTACCCAATGTCATCCTCAGTGTCTTCAGTTCAGAAGATGGACGTCTAAAGTGTTCCCTGAGTCCCTTCGGGGAGATGGTGGCGGGATACAAGAATATAGTTATTGTTATTATTAGGAATGGGAGGAAGCTTGTTTGCTTTATTTCATCAAAATTGAAATGCACTCTCAGGCTTTTAAAATGCACCTTGTCTTTCTGCAGCGCTGGCATAGCTGTCGGCTTCTATGGGAACGGGGAGACCAGTGATGGCATTCATCGGCTAACGTACTCCTTACGACATGCCAATCGCACCGTTACCGGGGTCCAGGACAGGGTGAGTAGAAGACTATGTATATTGTGTCATCAAAGGCTTTCACGGCTGGAATCAATGGGGTGTTGCGTGGTTTCTGAGTTGTATGGCCATTGTGTTCTAGCAGCATTTTCTCCTGACATTTCGCCTGCATCTCTGGCCAGCATTTTCAGAGCTTCCTTCTATTTATATGTATCGCCAAATACTTTCATAGCTGGAATCACTGGGTTGTTGTGAGGTTTTCAGGCTTAATGGCTTTGTTCCAGAAGCATTCTCTCCTGACGTTTTGCCTGCATCTATGATAGCATTCTCAGAGGTTGTGAGGTCTGTTGGAAACTAGGAAAATGGAGTTTATATATCTTTGGAAAGTCCAGGGTGGGAGAACTCTTGTCGGTTTGAAGTAAATGTGAATATTGCCATTGACCAACTTGATTAGCATTGAATGGCCTAGCAGTTTCAAGGTCTGACTCCTTACTGTCTAGGGCAGTGGTTCTCAACCTGGGGTCCCCAGATGGTTTTTGGCCTTCAACTCCCAGAAATCCTAACAGCTGGTAAACTGGCTGGGATTTCTGGGAGTTGTAGGCCAAAAACATCTGGGGACCCCAGGTTGAGAACCACTGGTCTAGGGGAATCCTTTGTTGGGAGGCGATTCACTGATTGTTTCTTGTCTGGAATTCCCCTGTTTTTGAGTGTTGTCCTTTGTTTACTGTTGTGATTTTAAAGGTTTTTTTTAAAATTCTGGTAGCCAGGCAGTATGAATGTTGCAATTGGCTACCTTGATTAGCATTGTATGCCCTTGCAGCTTCAAAGCCTGGCTGCTTCTTTCTTCCTGACTGGGGGAATCCTTTGTTAGAAGGTGTTCTCTGGCCCTGATTGTTTCTTGTCTGGATTTTCCCCCAGGCAGGAAACAGCCAGGCTTTGAATCTGCAAGGTTATTCAATGCTATTTACTGTTATGATTTTAGAGTCTTTTAATACTGGTAACCAGGCAGTAAGAAGCCAAACCTTGAAAGTGCTGGGCCATTAAATGCTAATCAATGTGGCTAATTGAAACATTCACACTTACCTCAAGCAGAGAAGAGTTCTTTCTCCCACCCTGGACACCATTCCTCAGATATATAAACCCCACTTGCCTAGTTTCCAACTGACCTCACAACCTCTGAGGATGCCTGCCATAGATACAGGCAAAATGTCAGGAGAGAGTGCTTCTGGTTGTTTCTTGTCTGAATTTTCCCCCAGGCAGGAAACAGCCAGGCTTTGAATCTGCAAAGTTATTCAATGCTATTTACTGTTATGATTTTAAAGTTTTTTAATACCGGTAGCCAGGCAGTAAGAAGCCAGACCTTGAAAGTGCTGGGCCATTAAATGCTAATTGAAATATTCACACTTACCTCAAGCAGAGAAGGGTTCTTTCTCCCACCCTGGACACCATTTCACAGATATATAAATCTCACTTGCCTAGTTTCCAACTGACTTCACAACCTCTGAGGATGCCTGCTATAGATGCGGGCAAAATGTCAGGAGAGAGTGCTTCTGGTTGTTTCTTGTCTGAATTTTCCCCCAGGCAGGAAACAGCCAGGCTTTGAATCTGCAAGTTTATTCAATGCTATTTACTGTTATGATTTTAAGGTTTTTTAATACCGGTAGCCAGGCAGTAAGAAGCCAGACCTTGAAAGTACTGGGCCATTAAATGCTAATTGAAATATTCACACTTACCTTGAACAGACGAGAGTTCTTTCTCCCACCCTGGACACCATTCCACAGATATATAAACCCCACTTGCCTAGTTTCCAACTGACCTCACAACCTCTGAGGATGCCTGCCATAGATGCGGGCAAAATGTCAGGAGAGAGTGCTTCTGGAATATACAGCCTGGAAAACTCGCAACAACCCACTTCCTCCTATTCTTCTGAAGATGCCAGCCACAGATGCAGGCAAAATGTCAGGGAGAAATGCTGCTAGAACACATTGGCCATGCAACCTGGAAACCACACAACATCCCAATATGTTTCCTTCCTTCCCAAAGAGTGACAATGGAAGTAAGTAAGAGGAAACCCTGCGCTGAGGCTCCCTCCACCTGTGCATCTGCCTCTGTGTTGATACCTGCCGCTTAACAAGCCCTTGACAGCTTCCATTAGCATTTCTGTCCTTGCTCTAAAAATAACTGCGCAAGGCAAAGCTGTTAAATAAAGTAACGTTATGCCACAATTGTGCTCCGTTCAAGCTGCTCCGCGCTCGTGTTTTCTGTGCCCTCCTCAGCTGTGACAGTCCAGGAAGCACAAACAAAACCGCACAGTTAATTTACAACCATGCTGTTTGATAATGAGGATAGAAGTAACTGCCTCGTAAGGAGTCGACCCAATGATTCGTTTAGTGTTTTCTGCACTCGTTGGAGCCTCAGCGAAACACAGTCTTGGCTTTACAACCTTAGAAGACCAAAGTGGAGGTCCGAACCCAACCCTATGCCCTGTTTGTAAGGCCGAACAGGGCATAGGGTGACAGCCTGTGTTAGACGGGGTTACACTCCCCCTGAAGACGCAGGTTCGCAGCTTGGGAGTGATTCTGGACTCATCACTGAGCCTGGAACCCCAGGTCTCAGCGGTGGCCGGGAGAGCTTTTGCACAACTAAAACTTGTGCGCCAGCTGCGCCCGTACCTTGGGAAGTTGGACTTGGGCACGGTGGTCCACGCTCTTGTTACATCCCGATTGGATTACTGCAACGCACTCTACATGGGGTTGACTTTGAAGACTGCTCGGAAACTCCAACTGGTCCAGCAGGAGGCAGCCAGATTGCTCACCGGAGCGACATACAGGGAGCACACCACCCCCCTGTTATGTCAGCTCCACTGGCTGCCGGATCCAGTTCCGAGCACAATTCAAAGTGCTGGTTTTGACCTACAAAACCCTATATGGTTCCGGCCCAGCGTACCTGTCCGAACGCATCTCCCTCTACGTCCCACCTCGGAGTTTAAGATCTTCTGGGGAGGCCCTGCTCTCGGCCCCGCCTCTATCACAAGTGAGATTGGTGGGGACGAGGAGCAGGGCCTTCTCGGTGGTGGCCCCTCACCTGTGGAATTCACTCCCCGGGGAAATTAGATCGGCAACGTCCCTTCTTTCATTTAGGAAAAAGTTGAAAACCTGGATATGGGACCAGGCATTTGGACATTCTGGCAGCTAAAGAAAGACTTGACGACGAGCTGGAATTTGACGAGACGGAATGGATTTACGGAACTCCGAACGCTGAGCTCAGGATTAGCCTACTACTGTGTTTATTGTATTGTTTTGTATTGATGATTTTAATTTTTAATTTGTAACTGTTTAATTGCTTTTATATATGTATGTATATGTGACAAAGGCATCGAATTGTGCCTTCCTCTGTAAGCCGCCCTAAGTCCCCCCTTGGGGGTGAGAAGGGCGGGGTAAAAGTGATGGAAATAAATAACCCCCCAGAAGATGTATAGTCGCAGCTTGGGGGTTGTCCTGGCCTCATTGATGGTAGTATTATAATATTTATCGTGTCAGGAGCAAACCAAACAGTTGTATTGCATTTTTTAACAAACAAACAAAACACAAAGTTTGCAAGCTTGGTATTCTATTAAATGCCCTTTGACCAGTATCTGGCCACTTGGAGTGCCTCTGGTGTTACTATATAAGATCCTCCATTGTGCATGTGGCAGGGCTCAGGTTGCATTGCAGTAGATGGTCTGTGGTTTGCTCTTCTCCACACTCGCATGTTGTGGATTCCACTTTGTGGCCCCATTTCTTGAGGTTGGCTCTGCATCTCGTGGTGCCAGAGCGCAGTCCGTTCAGCGCCTTCCTAGTCGCCCAGTTTTCTGTGTGTCTCTCATTTGGTGTCAGCCATTGATTGAGGTTCTGGGTTTGAGCCTGCCACTTTTGGACTCTCGCTTGCTGGGGTGTTCCAGCAAGTGTCTCTGTAGATCTTAGAAAACTATTTATTGATTTAAGTCATTGATGTGCTGGCTGATACACAAACAGGGGATGAGCTGGAGATGTCTCTGCCTTGGTCCTTTCACTATTGGCTGCTACTTCTTGACGGATGTCAGGTGGTGCAATACTGGCTAAACAGTGTAATTTCTCCAGTAGTGTAGGGCACAGACACCCCATAATAATGTGGCATGTCTCATTAAGAGCCACGTCTACTTTTTTAACGTGGTGAGATGTGTTCCACACTGGGCATGCATACTCAGCAGCACAGTAGCATAGTGCAAGGGCAGATGTCTTCACTGTGTCTGGTTGTGATGGCGGTGACCAAGGGAGCATTTGCACAGTTAAAGCTTGTGTGCCAGCTGTGCCTGTACCTTGGGAAGTCTGACTTGGCCACGTTGATCCACGCTCTGGTTACATCCCGTATAGACTACTGCAACGCACTCTACGTGGGGTTGCCCTTGAAGACTGTTTGGAAGCTTGAAATGGTCCAAAGGGTGGCAGCCAGGTTACTAACAGGAGTGGTGCTCATGGAACACACTACTCCTCTGTTGCGTCAGCTACTGGCTTTAGCCTATAAAGCCCTAAACTATTCTTGCCCAGCTTACCTCTCTGAACGTATCTCCTCCTATGAACCATCGCGGAGATTAAGATCGTCTGGGGAGGCCCTACTCTCGATCCTACCTGCCTTCAAATATTTGATACTGCATCTGTAATATACGTATGTGTGTGTGTGTGTGTGAATGGCTGGATGGCCCTTTGTCAGGAGAGTTTTGATGATGTTTTCTTGCCCTGGTGAAGGGAATTAGACTGGATGGCCTTAAGGCAGCATTTCTCAACCTGGGAAGTAAAGGGGGGGGGGGTCACCAGGGGGGTGTCAGAACGGTCACCAAAGACTACCGGAAAAAACAGTATTTTCTGTTGGTCGTGGGGGTTCTGTATGGGATGTTTGGCCCAATTCTATTGTCGGTGGGATTCTGAATGCTTCCCAGGTTGTTGTGAACTATAAATCCCAGTAACTACAACTCCCAAATGTCAAGGTCTATTTCCCCCAAACTCCATCTTTGTTCACATTTGGGCATATTGAGTATTCCTGTCAAGTTTGGTCCAGATCCATCATTGTTTGAGTCCACAGTGTTCTCTGGATGGAGGTGAACTACAATTCCAAAATTCAAGGTCAATGCCTACCAAACCCTTCTAGTGTTTTCTGCTGGTCATGGGAGTTGTGTTTGCCATGTTTGACTCAATTCCATCATTGGTGGGGTTCAGAGTGCTCTTTGATTGTCAGGATTCTATTTCCCACAAACTCCATCTTTGTTCACATTTGGGCATATTGAGCATTCCTGTCATGTTTGGTCCAGATCCATCATTGTTTGAGTCCGCAGTGTTCTCTGGATGGAGGTGAAATACAATTCCAAAATTCAAGGTCAATGCCCACCAAACTCTTCTAGTGTTTTCTGCTGGTCATGGGAGTTGTGTTTGCCATGTTTGACTCAATTCCATCATTGGTGGAGTTCAGAATGCTCTTCGATTATAGGTGAACTATAAATCCCAGCAACTACAGCTCCCAAATGACAAAATCATAATTTTTTGAGTGATGGTCACTCCTTGTGAGACATTTTGTTGCCAAATTTGGTGTGATTTCGTTTATTAGTTCTTTTGTTTTTAAGGTACTCATTATGCACAGAGCATTTATATATAGATAGAAGTGGGAGTGTGCATTTGTGTGTGCATGGTTTTCCAAGTGCATGGAGGAGAGTCTGTCTTGTTGGGAGAATTATTGCAATTACCTGGATCAGTTTCTTCTCGTTTCGCTTGACGTTTGACATTTCCTTGAAAGCCCTCCTTCCTTTTTTCGTCACCCGCAGGTGCGTGACACTGCCGTGGCTCTGAACAAAACAGCAGAGCCTTATTTGGGGGACCTGGAGGTCATGTTCGCCAAGCAGACGGATTATCTCCACGTGGTCCAAAAACTCCAGGGACTCCTGGACGAGCTGGTGAGGCAGACAACAGAAATTCCTTTCTGGAAGAACGACGAGGTCTCATTAGATGAGCTGGCAGATCGTGTGGATCAGTATGACTGGTACAGGTGAGCCGTGGGAGGCCTTGCGGGTGATCTTTGTGCCGCTTTGCTCCCTTCCGGTGCCGGGAAATGTGTCATGGTAATGAAGCTTTGACTTCTGTCGGCTTTGCTGGGGAACTTGAAGGCATTGAACTCCTCAGCCATTAAACGGGGGAAGGTCGGAGGCACGGTCGAGTCTCTTATAGCGCTTGATGCTGCTGCGTGCTTTCAAGGTGTTTAGAACTTAAGTTGACCCTAAGGTGAAAACATTGGAGAGTTTTCTCAGCCCGGATTGTTCAGAAGATGTAAAGATGAGACACTTGACCAATGATTTTTTATGACTGAACAGGAATTCAAACAATGGCCTCTAGTCCAACATTCATAATCATAATGTGGTGGAGGCTCCTTCTTTGGAAGCTTTTAAGCAGAGGCTGGATGGCCATCTGTCAGGGTGATTTGAATGCAATATTCCTGCTTCTTGGACAGAAGGGGTTGGACTGGATGGCCCATGAGGTCTCTTATAGGTTGGGTGACATCTGGCTTGAAAATGGTCAATGTGAATCATAGAATCATAGAATCAAAGAGTTGGAAGAGACCTCATGGGCCATCCAGTCCAACCCCCTGCCAAGAAGCAGGAATATTGCATTCAAATCACCCCTGACAGATGGCCATCCATCCTCTGTTGAAAAGCTTCCAAAGAAGGAGCCTCCACCACACTCCAGGGCAGAGAGTTCCACTGCTGAACGGCTCTCACAGTCAGGAAGTTCTTCCTCATGTTCAGATGGAATCTCCTCTCTTGTAGTTTGAAGCCATTGTTCCACGTCCTAGTCTCCAGGGAAGCAGAAAACAAGCTTGCTCCCTCCTCCCTGTGGCTTCCTCTCACATATTTATACATGGCTATCATATCCCCTCTCAGCCTTCTCTTCTTCAGGCTAAACATGCCCAGCTCCTTTAGCCGCTCCTCATAGGGCTTGTTCTCCAGACCTTTTATCATTTTAGTCTCTCCTCTGGACACATTCCAGCTTGTCAATATCTCTCTTGAATTGTGGTGCCCAGAATTGGACACAATATTCCAGTGTGGTCTAACCAAAGCGGAATAGAGGGGAAGCATGACTTCCCTAGATCTAGACACTATGCTCCTATTGATGCAGGCCAAAATCCCATTGGCTTTTTTTGCTGCCACATCACATTGTTGGCTCATGTTTAACTTGTTGTCCACGAGGACTCCAAGATCTTTTTCACACGTACTGCTCTTGAGCCAGACATTGTCCCCCATTTTGTATCTTTGCATTTCATTTTTCCTGCCAAAGTGGAGTATCTTGCATTTGTCACTGTTGAACTTCATTTTGTTAGTTTTGGCCCATCTCTCTAATTCCTGTTATGACTGAACAGGAATTCAAACAATGGCCTCTAGTCCAACATTCATAATCACTTTACCGGCTCCAGTAGCTTAAAGATGAATGGTCTTCAATAATGGTGTGACAGGGTGCGACGACAGAGAAAAGCAATGTCATATCAATGTGTCGTCGAAGGCTTTCATGGCTGGAATCACTGGGTTGCTGTGAGTTTTCCAGGCTGTATGGTCATACAGAATGGGGGACAATGCCTGGTTCGAGAGCAGTACCAGCTTCATGAGGGTATGCTCGAATTCCGGCCACCGGGGGAGCTGTTGCTTCACTGTCCGCTTGTGATACCAATGGAGTACTTCCTCATTCTTTTGGACACTGCTGGAGATTTTTATGGCATTGTAAATTAGTTAAATTAGACTCCCTTCATAAGTGGTGCCTAAATTTTCCACTTGGTAGATGCATACTCCACTAAGGCAGAAAAAATGAAATGCAAAGATACAGAATGGGGGGTGCCTGGTTCGAGAGCAGCACGTGTGAAAAAAATCTTGGAGTCCTCGTGGACAACAAGTTAAACATGAGCCAACAATGTGATGTGGCGACAAAAAAAGCCAATGGGATTTTGACCTGCATCAATAGGAGCATAATGTCTAGATCCAGGAAAGTAATGCTCCCCATGCTCTATTCTGCTTTGGATAGACCACACATGGAATATTGTCTCCAATTCTGGGCACCACAATTGAAGAGAGATATTGACAAGCTGGAGTGTGTCCAGAGGAGGGCGACTAAAATAATCAAGGGTCTGGAGAACAAGCCCTATGAGGAGCGGCTTAAGGAGCTGGGCATGTTTAGCCTGAAGAAGAGAAGGCTGAGAGGAGATATGATAGCCATGTATAAATATGTGAGAGGAAGCCACAGGGAGGAGGGAGCAAGCTTGTTTTCTGCTCCCCTGGAGACTAGGACACGGAGCAATGGCTTCAAACTACAAGAGAGGAGATTCCATCTGAACATGAGGAAGAACTTCCTGACTGTAAGAGCTGTTCAGCAGTGGAACTCTCTGCCCCAGAGTGTGGTGGAGGCTCCTTCTTTGGAAGCTTTTAACAGAGGCTGGATGGCCATCTGTCAGGGGTGATTTAAATGCAATATTCCTGCTTCTTGGCAGGGGTTGGACTGGATGGCCCATGAGGTCTCTTCCAACTCTTTGATTCTATGATTCATGTTCCAGAAGCATTCTCTCCTGACATTTTGTCCACATCTATGGCAGGCATCCTCAGAGGTTGTGAGGTCTGTTGGAACTTCATAGATGTGGGCAAAACATCAGGAGAGAATGCTTCTGGAACATGGCCAGACAGCCTGGATTACATTGGGTTGCTGTAATATCAATCACTTGTACAAAAAAAAACCCCTAGGGTTCTTTACGCAGGGCTAAGGCATGGGAGTTGAAAGTCACGTCTCTTCTATAAAGCTTGCTTCTCGCTTGCAAACTATTTGTGTCTCATAATATACCTTTTTGGGTTTTGTTGCAGATGGTTGGGATACCTGGGCCTGCTCCTCTTCCACGTCTTGATCTGTTTGCTGGTGCTGTTTGGATTAATTAGAAACTCAAAAGGCATTCTTATCGGGTAAGTTGATTTGAACGCAATGACTGAAGCATGTGAAAATGAAATAGCGGCACGAGTGGGTTGCTGTGAGTTTTCCTGGCTATATGGCCATCCTTCCAGGTGTTTTGACTCCAACTCCCACAACTCCTAACAGCCTCAGGCCCTTTCCTTCCCCCCCCTCAGCCGCTTAAGCTTAATGCAGCTAATCTGAATGCACTATGTCATGGGTGGGGAATGTGCTCATCTCCATTTCTAAGCTGAAGAGTTGGCGTTGTCCATAGACACCCACAAGGTCATGTGGCCAGCATGATTGTAAAGGTAGAGGTTTCCCCTGACATTAAGTCTAGTTGAGTCCGGCTCTGGGGGGGATGTGCTCATCTCCATTTGAAGAGCTGGCGTTGTCCATAGACACCTCCAAGGTCATGTGGCCAGCATGATTGTAAAGGTAGAGGTTTCCCCTGACATTAAGTCTAATTGAGTCCGGCTCTAGGGGGAATGTGCTCATTTCCATTTCTAAGCTGAAGAGCTACTGTTGTCCATAGACACCTCCAAGGTCATGTGGCCAGCATGATTGCGTGGAGCTCTGTTAGCTTCCCACTGAACTGCAAAGGGTACCTATTGTTCTACTCACATTTTGCATGTTTTCGAACTGCTAGGTTGACAGAAGCTGGGGCTAATAGTTGGAGCTCCCCTCACTCCCTGGATTCGAACCACTGACCTTTCGGTCAGCAAGTTTATCATCTCGGCAGTTTAACCTGCTGCACCACTGGGGATCCACGGGCTTATACATACTAGGTGGTAAAGGTAAAGGTTTCCCTTCGACATTAAGTCTAGTCGTGTCGGAGTCTGAGGGTTGGTTCTTATCTCCATTTCTAAGCCAAAGAGCCGGTGTTGTCCGTAGATACCTCCAAGGTCACGTGGCCAGCATGTCTGCATGGTGTGCCGTTACCTTCTTGCTGAAGCGGTACCTATTGATCTACTCACATTTGCATGTTTTTGAATTGCTAGCTTGACAGAAGCTGGGGCTAACAGTGGGAGCTCACCCCGCTTCCCTGATTCGAACCACTGACCTTTTGGTCAGCAAATTCAGCAGCTCAGCGGTTTAAACCACTGCGCCACCAGGAGACATATTAAATAACTCAAATTTGCGTGCTTTCAAACTGCTAGGTTGGTGGAAGCTGGAGCTAATAGTGGGAGCTCATCCCGCTCCCCAGAATCAAACCATATGGCCAGCATGATTGCATGGAGCTCTGTTAGCTTCCCACTGAAGCAGTACTTATTGATCTACTCACATTTTGCATGTTTTCGAACTGCTAGGTTAGTGGAAGCTGGAGCTAATAGTGGGAGCTCATCCTGCTCCCCAGAATCAAACCATGTGGCCAGCATGATTGCATGGAGCTCCATTAGCTTGCCACTGAAGCGGTACCTATTGATCTACTCACATTTTGCATGTTTTCGAACTGCTAGGTTGGTGAAAGCTGGAGCTAATAGTGGGAGCTCACCCCGCTCCCCAGAATCAAACCATGTGGCCAGCATGATTGCATGGAGCTCCATTAGCTTCCCACTGAAACGGTACCTATTGATCTACTCACATCTGGGGCTAATAGTAGGAGCTCACCTCACTCCCTGGATTCAAACCACTGACTTTTTGGTCAGCAAGTTTCTCAGCTCAGCAGTTTAACCCGCTGTGCCACTGGGGGCTCACTAAGTACAGGTAACCACTTTGAGTCGCGGATCAGGCTGAGAAAGGCGGTACACAAGTATAGTAAATAAATAAAAATAAATAAATACAGATGCAGAAAGGGAGGAGCAATTGAGCCTCATTTTGAGCTATGAAGGGTTTGAAACGCACAAACTGCAGTCCTCTTGGCTTTGTTCATATTTTCTGACAAACATCTGTTTTATTAACAAGCGGTTCTCCTGCAAAGAACCCGCTCGCTGTCTGCTGCAGATTTGAATAACGACAGGGTTTTTACTTCTTCAAATTGCCAGTTACAGAAGGATAAATTGATTGCTAGTTTCCCCTCTTCTGTCCTGCTTTGAACTCTGAATTATACTCTTCATTGACAATTAAGGCATGAGAACTGGAGCCGATACGCCTGCCAGACCATTCTGTGTTTCCTTCTCTTTCTGCAGAGTGTGTCTTCTCGGGGTTCTCGCCCTTGTCGTGAGCTGGGCTTCCCTGGGTCTGGAGCTGGCTGTTGCGGTGGTAAGTGCCTTAGGGACAACACTTTTGCTGAACTTTTCCCTGGGCTGGATTGCCCTCATTGTTTTCCTTTTTTTGGAGGGTGTGGACTATGGGGTTTTCATTTGGCTGCCCTCTTCAAAAATATAGTATTCTCCTTCATGGTCTCTGTGAATTACACAACTGGGTAATCTGCACCTGAGCAAAGTACTGGAAGGAACCTTCTTAAATCACTAGATAGAAATGTTTTGGCAATAACCAGAAGGCAGGAGCAGAATTCAAAATGATCTTCACAGATTAGAGAGATGATTGGCCAAAACAAACAAAATGAAGTTCAACAGTGACAAATGCAAGATACTCCACTTAGGCAGAAAAAATGAAATGCAAAGATACAGAATGGGGGATGATGAGGCCTGGCTTGAGAGCAGGACGTGTGAAAAAGATTTTGGGAGTCCTCGTGGACAACAAGTTAAACATGAAAATCCAACAAATGCTACGTTCAGCAAAGGACAAGAGGGATCCTCTCACCTCTGCAGGAGTCTACCGTATACCATGCAGCTGTGGACAAGTCTACATAGGGACCACCAAACGCAGCGCCCAAACAAGAATCCAAGGAACATGAAAGGCACTTCAGACTACTTCAACCAGAGAAATCAGCCATAGCAGAGCACCCGATGAACCAACCTGGACACAGCATTTTATTTGAGAACACAGAAATGCTGGACCACTCTCACAACCACCATGTCAGACTACACAGAGAAGCCATTGAAATCACAAACATGTGGACAATTTCAACAGAAAGGAAGAAACCATGAAAATGAACAAAATCTGGCTACCAGTATTAAAAAATTCTAAAATTAAAACAGCAGAGAGAAAAACAGGCAGGGACATCTAATCACCTTTCAAGAAGAGTTTGCTCCAGGCACTGTCAGCCCATTGTATGCTAATCAAGGTGGTCAGTTGAAAAGATTCACACCTAGCCCAACTTACAAAAGCCTTTTGTCTCACCCTGGTCATTCCACAGATATATAAACCCCTTTTTCTCAGCTCCAGCAGACCTCTGAGGAAGCTTGCCATAGATGCAGGCGAAACGTCAGGAGAAATGCCTCTAGAACATGGCCATATAGCCCGAAAAAACCCACAGGAACTGAGTGATTCCGGCCATGAAAGCCTTCGACAATACAGTTAAACATGAGCCAACAATGTGAGGTGGCGGCAAAAAAAAAAGTCAATGGGATTTTGACCTCCATGAAAACAGTGAAGCCAACAGGAAATTGAAAGTCACCTGGGAAGGTCAAGAGCTTGAACATTGTTTCCATCCTAAATATCTCGATGGCACCTTAGCATATAGGAAACACTGCTTGAACATCAAGCACAAAGTAGCTGCACGCAATAACATCCTGCAGAAACCTACTGGCAGCATGTGGGGTGCAGACCCAAAATTAGTAAAAACATCAGCCCTGGCCTTGTTCATTTTATTGTAATTCTTATTTTATTTTAAGCTTCATGTAAGCCACCCTGAGTCCCCTTTGGGGGAGATGGTGGTGGGGTATAAATATAGATGATGATGATGATGATGATGATGATGATGATGATGATGATGATGATGATGATTATTATTATTACTCGACTGCTGAGTATGCCTGCCCTGTTTGGCATAGGTCTGCCCATGCAAAGCAGGTGAACATAGCATTGAATGAAACATGCAGAATAATCACAGGATGTCTTAAACCTACACCTGTCGGTAAACTCTACAAGCTAGCTGGTATCGTCCCCCCCCCCCCCCCCCCATGTGCAATGGGAAGTTGCTGCTAATTGTGAGAGAAACAAGGTTGAACACTGTGAAAGCCATCCACTACATGACTACCAGCCTCTTCCCAGTAGACTCCAATCAAGGAAAAGTTTTGTGAGAACTACCACTCCTCTTGGCGTCCTCCCAGCAACAACAAGGGTATCCCTCTGTGCAGCTAAACCAGGAAATCCCAACTGGATGGGCCCCCACGAGGGTCTTCCTCCAGGGGCAAACCAAGAATGGGCAACTTGGAAGTCCCTGAACAGACTCAGAAGAGGAGTGGGCAGATCAAAAGACAACCTGGCAAAATGGCACTACCTAAAAGAATCCCACACCTTGTGTGACTGTGGAGCAGAACAGACAACTCCGCATCTGTATGCTTGTCCATTGTGCCCTGCCTCATGTACAGAAGAGGAATTGTTGGAGGCTACAGACAATGCTGGTGCTGATCTGCTGGCCCTCATCTCAATTTATGTGGCCTACATGGCAAATTACAAAAGCCATCTAGGGGACTCTGACACATTCTTCTTTGATTGATTGGAGAACTGCACACATCGGTTTTGGGTCTTGCCCTTTGGTCTTTCAACCACCCCAAGAGTGTTCACGAAGGATGATGGCAGAGGTAGCTGTTTGTTTACCTCAAAACCAATAGTCATACTACACCCCTATGTTAATGATTGGCTTCTCATCACTCGGTTAGTGGCCAGCTTGCAAGAGAACATAGACCTCACACTTCATCATTTGTGGGACATTTGCCTTGTAGCTAACCTGGAGAAATCCCACTTGATGCCCACTCATTCCATCCATGGCCTCATCTCCATTTTAGATTCCCTCCCCAACAAAGTCTTCCTTCCCAAGAATAGGTTCTTGAACCTGTGCAAAGCAACTGCTCTCTGTTGATTCCTCATAAGGGTCAAAGCCAAATTACCCAGTTGTGTGAATTCAGGGATTGCCACTTGAAAAAATACAATTACAGGCGAGCAACCTGTCCTTCTTGCACAGAAAACTCATGTAATCCTCCAATACAAGTTTAATTTTGTGTGCAAAAAAACTTTGGATAGTTTGCTCGCTGAACACTGGATATTTCTCCTCTAAGAAATCTGCGAGTTGGCCATGAAATTATGAAACCAGCCATGGTCTTCAAGAATAGAGCTGACTTTGTAAATCAAACTTGTGACTGAATAATTGTAAAGGGGCAATTTCAGTGTTAAGGGGAAACATTCAAATACACAAGTTTTCATCACGTTTGGAGATAGCCAAGGTAAAAATTGGACATTTGTGGTCTGGTTAGTTTGCTTTGCTTTCCTAAAATGAAAACTTCTATAGCTTTTACAAAAGAGAGTGCTGTTGATATGTATGATGATTACATTTCTTTTCTGTGTTCTTCTGTAGGGTTCCAGTGACTTTTGTGTTAACCCTGATGCTTACATCTCCAAAGTGGCGGAGGATAACGCGGTGCTCACTACTGGTAAGGGCTCTTAGGCCAGCACTCATAAGGGACAAGTTCCAGGCATTACTCTGATAGCAGTAGCTTTGTCATTTGTGTATAGAAAACAAAGACACAGAGAACTACAAGGGTTATCCAGAAAGTAAGGTTACAAGATTCTTTTAAAATACAAAGAATGAATATATTTTAATGAAACTTACATGGATTGTAGAATAGGTATGAAATTATTTTTCCACATAATCACCATTCTGTTCAATACATTTTGTCATCTGTGGGACAAGTTTTTGATGTATGTGTCATAGAAGTTTCCCTCCGCCCTTTTCAGCCAGTTCACCACTTCGATTTTTGCCTTGTCGTCGGAAAAGTGTTTTCCACCTAGGTGTTCCTTCAATTCAGTGAACAGGTGATAGTCACTGGGTGCAAGTTCGGGGCTGTGAGAGAGGGGGCTTAAAACATCCCAACAAAAGGAAGTCAACAACTCTTGTGTTGCACAAGAGGTGTGCGGACACACATTGTCATGAAAGAGACAGACTCCCGCCATCAGCATCCCATGATGTTTGTTTTGGATGGCTCTGTGAAGTTTCTTCATGGTCTCACAATATATTCCGTACCCATTTGGTCACGTGCTGTCTTGACATTACTCCTCTCCATATACTGAAATGATTCCACTGTGAATCACAGCAACGTTCATGCCCTTAGCATTTGGGTAGTGTATGACAGTGTGAACTTTGCACTTGGAGGGAAACAGAATGAGGATGCTCATCTCTAACCTTCACCACAACTCCAGTCAATGAGCTACTGACGACTGACACTGCTCGTTTGCTTCTACTGGCTTCCCGGTACATGGCAGTGAGACCAACTTCCCCAGGGAGAATTCCCTGCAAGAGCTATGTGCCTTGTAACCTTACTTTCTGGATATCCCTTGTACAGCGTGAACTTTGCAATTGGAGGGAAACGGAATGAGAACACTCATCTCCAACCTTCACCACAACGCCAGTTGATGAGCTACTTACAACTGGCACTGCTCGTTCACTTCTGCTGGCTTCCTGCTACACGGCAGTGATACCAACTTCCCCTGAGAAAATTCCCCACGAGAGCTACGCGCCTTATAACCTGACTTTCCGGTTATCCTCCGTACATCGCAAATTTTGCAATTGGAGGGAAACGGAATGAGAACACTCATCTCTAACCTTCACCACAATGCCAGTCGACGAGCTACTGACAACTGGCACTGCTTCCGCTGGCTTCCACTACATGGAAGTGATGCCAATTTCCCCTGAGAAAATTCCCCATGAGACCTATGTGCCTTATAACCTGACTTTCCAGTTATCCATCGTACAGCACGAACTTTGCAATTGGAGGGAAACAAAATGAGAATGTTCATCTCTAACTTTCACCACGACGCCAGTTGATGAGCTGACGACTGGCACTGCTTGTTTGTTTCTGTTGGTTTGCTGCTACACGGCAATGAGACCAACTTCCCCCAAGGAAATTCCGTGTGAGAGCTATGTGCCTTGCAACCTTACTTTCCAGATAACCCTCGTAGATTGAAAATGATGGGTTAAGGCAGGAATGGGCATACTTGAATCCTCCCTCCATGTGTTTTGAACTTCAACTCCCACCATTCCTAACAGCTTCAGGCCCTTTCCTTAGGAAAAGGAAATGGAAGGGGCCTGAGGCTTCTAGGAATGGTGGGAGTTGAAGTCCAAAACACCTGAAGGGAAGGCCCAAGTTTGCCCATTCCTGGGTTAAAGCGAGGACATGTGTAGTATGACAGAGTCGTATTGTACATGGTTAGTGCAATTAACATTTTAAGAACACAAAAAAGCATGAATTGGTATTTTTCCTTGACGTCATAAGACAAGTATTTTTCTTTTTGGAAATGAAATCTTTACATTGCTGAAAGCCATGCAGTGTGCATTTGGTGCTGACCACTTTTTTCCAGGAGACCAAATGAAATTAGAAAGGGATCACATTCGAATCTATGACTCTCTTAAAATGTCTTCCAGTGTTTTGGAGAAATTAGGATCGAAAAAGGAGGATACTGAAATCCCTCTGTACGCTGCACAGATGTTCATAAACACACTCCATCAGGTGCTAAAATGGAGGGTTTCCTGCCTCGGGCTCTTTCTATAAACCCGGCATTCAGCTGTGTTTAGCCTTGGGAAACCAAACCTCTCTGTGGTCATTTATTAGGCTTAGTAGCAGCGGTTCTTGACATATGTGACAAAAGAGGTAATTGAACACCTTCCCCAAGTAATGTGCTCTCTTGGGCTTTGTCTCACCTAATCTCGCCTGAGGAAGGGAGCGGATGAATGATGCCTTCAATTTGGCTCTCGGTAGGAAACTGTCCATTTGACACAACTGTGTTTCAGGCAGGGAGGGGAAGAGGTGAGTGCCGATTGCGGAGCCGTTCCTCGGCTAAGCAGGCAATGGTCATGAAATTTGCACAGGATCCTATCAGAGCCCTGAAGAGTTTGTCATGTTTTATTTCAATAATATGCTTAGTGAGTTGTTGAAGGCTTTGATGGCTGGAATCACTGGCTTGCTGTGTTTTCCAGGCTGTCTGGTTATGTTCCAGAAGCATTATCTCCTGACATTTCGCCTGCATCTATGGCAGGCATTCTCAGAGGTTGTGAGGCCTCTTAGAACCAAGGCAAGTGGGGTTTAATGGGTTTATATATCTGTGGAATAATATCCAGGTTGGGAGAAAGAACTCGTTGTCTGTTGGAAGCAAGTGCGAATGTTGCAATTGGCCAACTTGATTAGCATTGAATGGCCTTGCAGCTTCAAATGTGTTTAGCCTCTGTGTATGAGTCCAAATAGCAGGACTGTCCGTCCTTTGGATAACTGTGTTTTAAACAGAACACAGTTGTAGAAAAGGGTTTTTTGCAGGGGAAATGGCTCCAGAGTTAGTTCAAGATTTTAAAAGCCTAGCTATGAGTTAATCTAGTCTGTCTGGAATGGCATGAGATTGACAGGAGCAATATTATTCATCCAGCATTTCTGAGGAAAAGACCAGCCTCGCTCCTCTTTGGTGATACAAGTTTAGTTTTCATGTTTTCCTCACAAGCAGCTCTTGTTAAAACTGTATCGTCGAAGGCTTTCATGGCCAGAATCACTGGGTTGCTGTAAGTTTTCTGGGCTTTATGGCCATGTTCCAGAAGCATTATTATTATTATTATTATTATTATTATTATTATTATTATTATTATTAGAAAAAGGAGACGGAGGGCCTGATTCTGGGTGCCCAGGAACAAGCCATTCAAACCAATGCGATCAAAGCCAGAATTGAAAAGTCGACGACAGATCCCAAATGTGGACTCTGCAAGGAAGCAGATGAAACAATAGATCCCATCCCCAGATGCTGCAAGAAGATCACGCAGACAGACTACAAGCAGAGGCACAACACTGTTGCTCAGATTCATTGGAACTTTTGCCACAAATACCATCTGCCTGCGACAAAGAACTGGTGGGATCACCATCCAGAAAAAGTTACAGAAAATGAATACGTCAGACTTCTCTGGGACTTCCAAATTCAGACTGACAGAGTTTTGGAGCACAAAATTCTGACCTCGCAATCGTGTTAAAAAACAGAGTGTGGATTGTCGATGTTGCAATCCCAGGCAACAGCAGGATTGAAGAGAAACAACTGGAAACAGTTGAAACATTCACACCTAGCTCCAACAGACAAGAGTTCTTTGCCCCACCCTGGTCATTCCACAGATATATAAACCCATTTTCCTTGCTCCAACAGACCTCACTACCTCTGAGGATACTTGCCATAGATGCAGGTGAAACGTCAAGAGAGAATGCCTCTAGAACATGGCCATATAGCCCAAAAAAACCTACAACAACCTAGTGATTCCGGCCATGAAAGCCTTCGACAACTAGAAAAGCTGACACGATATGAGGATTTAAAGTTCAAACTGCAAAGACTCTGGCACAAGCCAGTCAAGGGGGTCCCTGTGGTGATCGGCACACTGGGTACAGTGCCTAAAGACCTTGGCCTGCACTTAAACATAATAGGTGCTGACAAAATTACCATCTGCCAGCTGCAGAAGGCCACCTTACTGGGATCTGCATGCATTATTCGGTGATACATCACACAGTCATAGACACTTGGGAAGTGTCCAACGTGTGATCCAATTCAACAGCCAGCAGAGTGTCTGTTGTGTTTCAAATAATAATAATAATAATAATAATAATAATAATAATAATAATAATAATCTTTATTTATATACCGCCTTATCCCCCCTCGGGGACTCAGGGTGGTTTCCACAGACAACATAAAACATATGGAGTAGCCATTAAAACATAAATATAATCTGTTAACAAAATCCTATACATTAAAACAAACCTATTCATTAACCATTGTGCAAACGCCCCACTAATATGTGGGCCAGAACAGGACTGAAGGGGCTGACCAGGGTTCCTATAGAAGTAATGAGGAAAGGGGAATGAATAAAGTGCTGGAAGTGGACCTGATTTCTGGCCAGGGTAGGGCCTGGGGCTACTTTTTCCAGGGCTTTCTTTCAATTTTGAAGAGAAAGGTCTAGGTCGGAAACCAGTGTCATGACATGGAGGAGGAGCGAGAGAATGAACAAGATGCTGGGTTGTTGTAGGTTTTTTCGGGCTATGTGGCCATGGACTAGAGGCATTCTCTCCTGACGTTTCCCCTGCATCTATGGCAAGCTACCTCTGAGGATGCTTGCCATAGATGCAGGCAAAATGTCAGGAGAGAATGCCTCTAGACCATGGCCATATCATAGAATAGAATCATAGAATCAAAGAGTTGGAAGAGACCTCATGGGCCATCCAGTCCAACCCCCTGCCAAGAAGCAGGAATATTGCATTCAAATCACCCCCTGACAGATGGCCATCCAGCCTCTGTTTAAAAGCTTCCAAGGAAGGAGCCTCCACCACACTCCGGGGCAGAGAGTTCCACTGCTGAACGGCTCTCACAGTCAGGAAGTTCTTCCTAATGTTCAGGTGGAATCTCCTCTCTTGTAGTTTGAAGC